AGAGAGAGAGAGAGAGAGAGAGAGAGAGAGAGAGAGAGAGAGAGAGACACAGAGAGAGAGAGAGGTTTTCTCCATGTAACAGCTCTGGCTTTCCTGGAACTTGCTTTATAGACCAGGCTGGCCTCAAACTTACAACGAAGATCCTCCTGCCTCTGCCTCCTGAGTGCTGGCATTAGAGATATGTGACACTACTTCAGGCTTGCTCTAGCTGATTTTTTGAGTCTTCTTTTGGTGGGTCAAGCAAGGTGTGATGTTTTTGTTTCTGTGTGAGCTTCATATGGGAAGGAGGAAAGGATCCATTTTACATTTAATTCTACCTTCTATGAGTATTTGTTTCTAAGTGAGGGCTATGCTTTCTTCTTCTGTCCTACAATGTCAAAGATCCACCCCCCTTTATATTTTAAAGCTGTCAAATTCTGTGTAGTACGACCTACAAAATGATGAGGAAAAAATATCTGGTGAGTGTGTTTTTGCATGAAAACAAAAATCAAAGAATCTGACTTTCCGTGATTGTTCAGCACTTAACGTTCCTTCTCAGTTCACTAAAGCTGGACACTCATAGTATCGTTTCTTCTGTTGCAGGCTTCTTTTCTTGATAGTGCAAGTTCTGTGGAAGTCCACAGCATGTTCACCTCTCCTAGTAAGACATACATCCAGCTTAAAACCAACGATGACAATATAATGGTAATACTTGTGACTCACTTGCGAATTGCAGCCTGATTTGATATTCTTATAATTGGGGTGTACATATTAATTAATATTTTTTTCTAGGTGGGATCACCTTTTGATTTGATGGTTAGTGGCAACAAGGAATTCAAGGAATTAAGCTATATGGTAATTTCTTTATTTTAAAGTTTTCTTTATTGATTTACTATTTTCTCTCTCTGTGTGTATGTGTGCATATGTGTAATGTGTATGTATGAATGCAGGTACATGTGTGTCATGGCATGTATGTGGAGGTCAGAAAGAACATTCAAAAGTCAGTTTACTCTTTCTATCATCGATTCCAAGGGTTAAACTGAGGTCATCAGGCTTGTGTGCAAGCATAATCACCCACCTGGCTTTCTCTCAGGGTAGTGATTTCTCAGAGTTTTTAAGTTTATGATCTGTTACAGTTTCATCTTGAGTAATATTTACCTTACGTCTTCATCAGACTTACTAACTTGTTATAGATTATTCTACTCTTTTTATTATGTAATCAGCTTTATTTCTTTGACTATATGTATCATTTAAAATAGATAATTAAATTTCTATTTACCAAGAACAAAACAAAATGTAAATTTCTAGTATACAGACAACATGGATTCCTTGGTGAAAATTATGAAATATAAGAAAGAAAATAAAACTCACCACCTTGGCCCTGTAGTTTGCTAACCAAACCCTCCTGTTAGCGCTCTGTATTTCTTTCCATCAGATACTAGGTTCCAAGATAAAGAAATGGTTAGTGCAAGTAAGGGCTTTCTCAGAAATGACCCTGATCGCACAGACCAAGCTCAGTGTTGGGCTGATGAAATGGCTCAGTGGCTAAGAATATGTACTGCTCTACAAAGACCTGAATTCAGAGTGGAACATGGAGCTCACAACCACCTATAACTTTAACTCCAGGGGATTTGAAGCTTCTGATCTCTATGAGTATCTGTACTTAAATACACAACCCCCCATACAGAAACAGATTCAGACACATCATTAAAAAATACCAAAATATTAATGTAATGTATTAATATAAAAAAGTACCTCTCTCAATAGATGAAGAAAAAAGGTTTTGATATCCACACTTGTATGTTAAAAATACTCAGTGATGTTTTATTGGTGGGAATTACCCAATTTGACAAAGGACAAATAATAAAAACTTAAAAAATATGGTCAATGCATTAGGGGCTAGATAGAGCAGTTACCTTAATTTAGTCATTCTACAAATGCACCGAAATGTTGCACTGTGTTCCATAAACATCTACAGATATTATGTGCCAATTGCAAAAAAAAAAAGAAATAAAAATAACATTTGTAAGGGATGACATGAATTGTCTTTGTTTTAATATCATTTTGTTTTTTAAGTTATATAGATTTTTTTGTCAATATAACTTATTTTTCATTGATTCATTGCTGGTCTTAACAATCACAACATCTATTTTTTGTTGAAATCTGACTATCTCAAAACTAATCACAGATTTTTGCCTGTAAAAAGGTTATGAATATAATTTAAGAACTTATCCTAAAAATTATTATAAATATAATATTGAAATATGACAATCTTTAGAAAATTTCACTCTTATTTTTTTTAAATTTTTTTTTTTAGGTAATATCAAAGGGACAGTTGGTGGCCGTAGGCAAACAAAGTTCAAGAACTTTCTCTTTAACACCAGAAGATTCCTGGGCTCCAAAGGCCTGTATAATTGCGTACTATATTGCAGGGGATGGGGAAATTATAAATGATATTCTAAAAATCCCCGTTCAGCTTGTTTTTAAAAATAAGGTAAGAATTAAGGTGATGATGTTTAAAACATCATTGTAGTGACATCTGAGAAATGTAATATTTCTTTACAAACGAATCAGCTATCCACGTTGCCTAGAAACTTGTATTACTCTCTATATCCAGAGGAAGTATATTTTCATATTAAGTGCTACGGTTATTTGTCAGCTGTGATTCCTGGCTCTAAGACTTTAACTCAAATTCAGCAAAGTCATTTCAGTATTTTTAAAAAATAGTTGAGCCAATATTGCTCTGCCTGAAATTCCAGTGGTGACATGGACCATGTGTGTGTGGACCTTAGTGTGGTAATGAGGTAAGTGTAGAGAACAGGGCCATTGGAGATGCGTGTGGAACCAGGGCGAGGTTTTGGATTGTCTACTCCATCATCTGGAAGCTAACAGGGACAAACTTTCAGTAATCGTGATGTCTTGCTTTTGAGTATCTGGGTGGAGCCCTGTCTCTAGTGCACCAGTATTGGGGTACCTCTTAGCCTGATAACCAGCTTGCACAGGAGGCCACCTCAGCCCCAGCTCTGACAAGAAACCCATTGTGATCATCTCAAAGATGTCAGAAAGAGCCTTTGGTCTCACCGCTGCCTTGACCTGCCTCAGAATCAGTTTCAGTGTTGTGATTTGTAGAGTATAGTTCTCAATATTACCTTTAAAATTGGTGAAGTGTTGTATTCATGTTTTCTTTTGTTTAAAATAATGTATTTTAACTTTTTCTATATGATAGAGAGTCTAAGTCTGTGCATTCTAAGCAAATGTGCTAATACTGAACTGCACCCCAGCCCCGAGTAACCCTAACTTTCTCTAAGTATATTATAAACTTCTATTTTTGAATCTTATGAAATTTTTTTTAAGAAGTAGCAATATATTTTCTTAGTGTCTGTCAAAGATTCACCTTATAATAACCATGTTAAATGGGTGAATTTTAGAAAGGAATTATGGATGCTTAAATAAGGAGACACATCTCTAGGGACCAGGTATGAAGCTAAGTGCAGGGTGTAAGATTACCCACGACGAGGAAGCAGAGTCTATTAAAGGATGTTTTCAAGAAATATTTTTTGACAAATTAAATAGAAAATTTCAATTTCATTTTCAAAAAGATACTTTCTCTGGTCTTTATATAATGATGATCAAAACGACTAAAGTGAAAGATCAGTTAGGGACCACACAGAGGAGGAAGCCAGCCTTATTAATAGTTCAGTCACTTAGAGCGAACTTCTGGATGGGCAGTGTAATCCAGGGTGCAGTTTGCTTTTAGGACTGAGCTGGATGACATGGAGGTCCTCAGCAGGATTGGAACTTTCCCTCATGGCAGAGAAATGGTCTTTATGAGCTATTAGTTGGATCAGAGTTTGTGTACCATAAAGATAGGTGAAGTTCAAGGAGCCATGGAGAGAGTAGAGGGAGTTGAGGATTGCTTGGGACCTACAGTAGTTTTCCTTTCTGCCTCTTCATTTAGATGGTAGGCTTCCCCAGGGATTTTAGATATGACTGTCCTGTGTTTAGCCTGAGGACTGAGAACTAAAAAACGGAGAAAGGAAGGGAGCAAGGTAGAGAGGCGAAGAATAATCTGTGCTTGTACCACATGGAGATGTTTCATGGATCACAACCATGTGGGAGTTTAAAATAAAAAATTCCATTCCTTAGGGAAAATTGTGGACCAAGGCAGAGGTAGCATCAATGGGTTTTGAGCCATTTGATCTGGAGAAAATTAAATTAGTTTTACCTTTTCTTAGGTAAAGCTGTTTTGGAGTAAACCTAGAGTCAAGCCATCTGAAAAGGTCTCTCTCAGGATCTCTGTGACACAGTCGGACTCCCTGGTGGGGATTGTAGCTGTTGACAAAAGTGTGAAATTGATGGAAAACTCCAACGATATCACAATGGAAAACGTGAGTTTAATTTTCTCTTGTTCGTGTGAAAAGTATTGTTAAAAGAAAAAAAGAAACTATTGCATTACCTTAAAGATTTAAAGCAAATTCATTAGTCCCTCTGAATAGTAACAGGTGATAATAGAAAAACCTTTGAAAGGAAAGTAGCTGCCTTCTAGTATGAGTTGGGCAGAAGTACACATATCTTTTAAATTTACTTTCTTTTGGTATCTATTATTATTTTTAATATCTATTATTAGCTTTCAGATCTTAAGTTTTGCTCTTATTACTAATTATATATATTACAAATACTTCCTTGAGTCCTTTTTTGTATATTTAATTATATGTATTGCTAATATATATAATTGTATATAATATATACTCCTTGTATCCTTTATGTATATTTACTGTGCTTTAAAAATTTTAATTTGTTTTAATATTATTTACATTTTTCTCTAGGTCTAGGATTTGATGACAGCTTTTTTCTGAGAACTTTTGAATTCTATGAGGTGTGTGTGTGTGTATGTGATCTTAGAAATTCAACCTAGGACATTTTACCATGCTAGGCCACTGAGGTACATGCTATGGTTATTTGTTTTATTATTAATTGTTATTACTAGTTTTTTTGAGACAGGGTTGCTTTGTGTGTTCTTGGTTGTCCCCAAACTAGCTCTGTAGACCAAGCTGATCTCAAACTCATAGAGATCTGCATGCCTCTGTCTCTCAAGTGCTGGGATTAAAGGTGTGCTCCACCATCACCTGGCTTTATTATTATTACTTGAGACAGATTCTTACTATATGACACTGACTGTTCTCAAACTCATGGTTCTCCTGCCTCAGCCTCCCAGGTTATAAGCATGTGTAACCACACCTGGCTTTCTTGTGCTGATTTTAAGTTCTAGAAGTGACTTTGCCATTCTTCTGTCACGTGAGTCTTGTCCTCTAACCTTCTGACTGTTGTGAATATTGCCGCAGTGAACATTGGTATAGAAACACCCCCTGAGTCTTTGCTTTCAGTTCTTAAGAGTATATATCTAGGTGTAGACTTCCTGGGTCTCATTCTGATCCTATGTTTATCTTTTTGAGGAAAAGAGAAAGAACTTTTATCAATCCTTTTAGCATGTTTTGCCCATTCTTACTAGCAGTATCCTTAAAAACAGTTGGATTGCTAAAGTAATACCTGCAAGTATCCCATTATTTAAAAAAAAAAAAAACAAACCTCCTACGGGTGCAATTCTGATGCTTTGATTACCAGCAAAGCTGAGCAGTTTTCTGAATATTAGTAGCTTATATTTACTCTTTTGTGAATTTAAGTGACTGGCTTTTTATGGAATGTGTGTTAACCCTCTTCACTTGAGCCTGCTTGTCTCTGCTAAGAGTCAGTTTCAGTGCTGACCTCTATGTGTTGATCACGTGAGTCTGTGACACTTTGGTTCCTCTCAGGAAATCCTTAAGTCTATAGTTATAAGGAACTCTGTATTACTGAGCAGTGTAAACATAATTTCAAATAAGAACTGTAATTGTGGTTGGTTGAATGTGATAATCATCTGTTTGTTTGTGGTTCCTTGATTTGTGCTATTTTCAAGTTGAGTGAACATGAGGACTGCATACTGCGTTACTTCTAAGAAAAGAGTGGCAGGAAGGATGGATGGATGCAAATCCATTCACTGTGTGTCTTCTCTTCTGTGCAGATGGTCCATGAACTGGAACTTTATAACACAGAATATTATCTAGGCATGTTTATGAACTCCTTCGCCGTATTTCAGGTATGTATAGTTGGATGATAGTCTGAAAAGATATTAGCATCTTTTGCCATTATAAACCATTTTATAATTACTTATCATGATGGAGACTAACCTCTATTGGAGGCATGACTGAAATTCACTGCCCCATATGTCTAATCAGAGTAGAGAAATACATCCTTTCAGTTTTAAAAACCAATGGAAAAATTTACCCATTCACTGTTAGATTAGTGGAATTGTCATTAACCACACTTTAAAAATATTACTATACTTGACTTTGAGAAGGCTGTTTTTATGACTGTGTGAGAGGAGAAAGGAGGAATTAAACACACACACATACATACATGCATGCACACTACGTTCTCTATGATTAGAGAACATTTAAACTTTGATTTTGATTTTATTTTAGTTAACATTTTTTTAAATTATCTTTTTCTTTTCCAGGAATGTGGTCTCTGGGTGTTTACCGATGCAAACCTTGTAAGAGATAACATTGATGAAGTTTGTAAGTAAAGCCTTAGAACATGCTTAACTGGTTGTATTTTACACGCTTAACTGGCTGTATTTTACATGCTTAACTGGTTGTATTTTACACGCTTAACTGGCTGTATTTTACATGCTTAACTGGTTGTATTTTACATGCTTAACTGGCTGTATTTTACACGCTTAACTGGTTGTATTTTACATGCTTAAGTAGTTGTACTTCATCTCACGTATTGCGTAACACCTGTAATGGGACAAGGACTTTCTAGGTCAACATGACTACTATGTGCTAAAGTGTTTGCATTTTATGAACTGTGGAAGTTTGTGTGAGGATAGCAGGGAATGTTGCGTGGGCTCCTGACTACATTTCTGAAACGCATGCTTTTCTGTTGTTTTCTAAGGTAGGGTTTATAGTTTGGGATGTATTGGATAATCCTGTGGGTCTAATTTGTGTTGCAAACTGTGCTGTTATCTTAGAATTAGTTAAAAGGAACAAATTTTGAAGCATTTGCGTTCTCTAATTTTGTTATCTTGGCGGTTTATGGCTTATTATCACCTCTGTGTACTAAAATTATCAGTATACTTAAGTTTCATCATCATAGTTTCTATCCTACACAACTTTCCAAATCTGTCTATCCAGTTTCACTCACAACTTAAAAAATGTTTTTAGACTTATTTTATGTATATGAGTGTTCACCTCTATGTATCTTTATGTAACAGTGTTTTTTAAAAAGAGATTTATTTTATGTATATGAGTACACTGTCTTCATGCATACCAGAAGATATTTGTGAGCCACCATGTGGTTGCTGGGAATTGAACTCAGGACCTCTGGAAGAGCAGGTAGTGCTCTTAACCTCTGAGCCATCTTTCCAGCTCCCCACTTACAACTTTTTTCTGTTGTCCCCCTCTCTCTATAGTTCTGTCTGATGCTCACTGCAGCACTGTCTGTTGTCAGTAATGTTTGTGTCCTTCACATTGGTGGGCTCACAAATATAATTTTAAAAATGATTTCTTTATTGAACATTTATAGACTTAACTCTTGTTCTTGTATAGTATAATAACTTCACACCATTATATTATGTTATTATATTATACGCTATTATATGATACTAGTTATCAGAAGTAGTATAGTGGTGATTTAAAGTGTATGGGAATATGTAGGTTGTCTGAAACACTACACTGCTTTGTTTGTAGGACTTAAGTGCTTAGAGATTTTGGCATCCAACTTGGATGCTGGGGTAGGGCTGCACATATTGTATCCTTGGCTGAGAATCTTCTACCTTTTTCACTACAAGAGTGAAACTTCTACCTCAATAGCAAATATGACTCTGGACAGCTACCCAAGTGATGGACATCTATTTCTCTTCTTCTGACTCAGAATATGTAGCTACACAGGGGTCAAGGTGTTCTCGGCCATCTTATAGGCTTATACATAATTCCTCTTTCTCTGAAAAGTGTCACAGTGCTTAAGAAAAAAGCCTGTTGTCATATATTACTGGCCTTGACTCAGGAATTGTGGCTCTAAGGACTGAAGAAATGGTTCAGTAGTTAAGAGCATTCTCTGCTCTTCCAGAGGACATGAGTTTGATTCCCAGCACCCACCTAGCACCACAGTGGCTTACAATCACCTGTAACTACAGTTCCAGGGGATCCAATGTCCTTTTCTGGTCTCTGTATACACTGTGTGTACATGACACACAGACATACATGCAGGCAAAACCGCCCATACACATAAAAACAATAGAGTATGACCCAGGGCAAATTGGTCAAGCTTTCAAGCCTCCAGTTTCTCCCTTTCACATAGATTTAATAATATTATGTGTTTTGGTTATTCTGTATTGAACAGCTTCATACAGTGTATTAAGATGTTCCACACATGGTTAATACTTTGTCAACTTTCCATTTATCTTACCTATTAGGTTGAGATCATCTATTCACTATTCGATGAATGGCAATGAAATTAAGTGCATACCTAGCATGTGAGAGGCAGTGGGGGTTCCACATTGGGCTGAGGGGGCAGACGGAGACACAAAGATGGCTGTGCCAGGGCCATGATGGGGAGGCACAGCTGCTACAGGAACACTGAAGGGCACCGGGGCAGGGCAGAGCTGTCTCTTAACTCATTTTTCAAATTTTAAGTTTTTTGTTTTCTTCATTTTTAAAAATTAATTTTTGAAATTATATCATTTCCCCCTTCCTTTCCTCCTTTTAGACCCTCTCATAGATCTCTCCTTTCTTGATCTTTTTAAAATATGGCTTCTTTTTTCATTTTGTGTGTGTGTGTATTTCTAAATACATAAATGCAACCTTCTTAATCTTTATAATGTTACATATGTAGACATATGTAACATTATCAATTTATATATAAATATATATGTTTTCATAGGTGACCATTTAGTATTGGATAACTCTTCTTTGGGGAAGACTATTTTTCCTGCTCTCAGCATTTCTTAATGGCTTTGTGTAGGGTTGAGGCCTCCTGGGCTTTTCCCTGTCTGTATTATTCTTGTTGTCTTGCTAAGGCGGTCATATTGCTGAGACTATGGGTGTAACTTCTGACATTCCTAGAAGACACAATCTCACTTCCTGTTCCTCTGGCTCTTCCAGTCTTTTCACATTCTCCTTTGTGAAATGTTCCCCAAATCTTAGATGCAAGAGTTATACTGTAGATGTATCAGTTGGAATAAGGCTCCACAACTTTGCATTGTGATTGGTAGTTTTCAGTAGTGGTCTCTTGCCCACAACTAGTGTGTTGTGGTCCCAAGAGTAGATCCACATTAACAGGACACAGGGAGTACACAGTCATAGTCAGCAAATGCACACTTTATTCAAAGTTTCAGCATCTTTTCTATAAAAGACAAAATAAAGATTTCCCCACAGTTTCCAGTTTCCACCAGGTGCTGTTTGCCTAGCAACAGCTTGTCTTGTTTCAGTGACCCAAACCTCCTTGCAGATTGAGAAATCTGTCAGCAGTCCAACTCTTAGATGTGTTGTATAATTAAAAACAGTTGTTTTCTCTTGAGAAAAGGATCACAAAGGTCGTTTCCTCAGGTTTGCAGCTTACTTGTGAGAACACCAGGATTCTCTTCATGAGAAAGTATGCTTCCTATGTCTCAGTCTGCTGAGAATGACAAAGACCTGAGGTTGCCTCCAAGCTGGCAAGCTGGGAGCAGTCTCCTCATGCCATTTCCCTACAGTCTCTGTCTATTGCAAAGAGAACTGTCCTTGATGAGGAGTGAGGACTACACCTATCTGTATATATAAGGACAAACACTTAGAATGTGATTAGGGGTTATGTTGGTTTAGTAAATGGAGCAGTTGTAGGTTCTCTTCTAAGCCCCGTGACCTCACTAGCCCTGGGTAGTTGGCTAGGTTTCCAGTACCCAGGCATGATTTCCCTCTTGTTGAAACGTTCTTTTTATTATTATTAATTTTATTTATTTACATCCCAGATGTTGCCTCTCTCCAAGTGCCCCCTGGAAGAGTTCTTCCTCTATACCTCCTCTCCTTTGCCTCTGAAAGGGTGTTCCCCCTGCCCCCTCCCCCAACACTGTCTCCCTGAGACATCCTCTACAGGATTAGGCACATCCTCTCTCACTGAGGACAGGCAAGGCAGCTCTCTGCTACGTAAGTGCCAGAGGCCTCAGACCAGCTTTGGTTGGTGGTTTAGTCTCTGGGAGTTCCCAGGAGTCTGGGTTAGTTGACATTGTTCGTCTTCTGAAGTAAATGTTTAAATCGGCCTCTGGCTCAGGCCGACTAATTAAGCTGAAGCGGCTCTGCCTAGCCCAGCCGCCATGTTTCTCGGTCCGAGGCCATGTGTGTGCTGCAGCTAGAAATGGCCAACTAGAAACACCAGCCCTGCCACCCATGAGACGCCAGCGTGGGAGATGGCTCAGTCTCCCATGTTGTCTCTGCAAGGCTGGGCATTGCCCAGGCCATCCCGCCATCCACATGGGCTCAGTAGAAAGATGAGACTCTAATGCTTAAGGATTAATCAAAGGCTTTATATATTTGGTAAAGCTCAATAACAATATGCCCATACAGAGAGTTGTTTCCCAATTAGCTAACCTAAATAAAAGTAGTTACCTGCACTGCTCTCCATACCTGCGTGGCTTTCCATCCTTCGATATCTCTCGTTCTCCTCTCTTGTTTCCTAGCTCCTCCTCTTCCTTTTCCTCCTCCTTACTCTTCCTCTTCCTCTCCTAACTCCTCCCACCCTAGCTCCTCCTACAGTCTTCCTATGGGGTTATCATCTCCTTCTGTTCCTTCAGTCCTTCCCCAAACTTACACAGGGGTTCCCAACCTCAGTCCAATGCTTGGCTGTAATTATCTGCATTTGTCTCAGTAAGCTGCTGGTAGAACCTCTCAGAGGACAGCCATGCTAGGCTTCTGTCTGCAAGCACAACATGGCTTCACAAGTAGTGTTAGGGTTTGGTACCCACCTGTGTGATGGATGCCAATTTAGGCTGGTCTCTGGATAGCCTTTCCTTCATTCTCTGCTTTACATTCTTATGTACCAAAGCAGCAGCAAGCCTGATGCGGCAGCAAGGAGAAAAGACGACTGTGTGCCTGTGGCTGCATTGGCACACTAAACTCCCTTGAGACTGAGAACGTAGTCTTGGTGCTAGGTGGTAGATGTGGATTCTCTTTATGTGAGCATTCAGCTTCCCTAGCATCACTTGTTAACGATCACTTCTCCAGTGTTTGTTTTTGGCAGCTTTGTCAGACATTCTCTAGTACTTTTATCATGTTCGATTTTTGTCACAGACTTTTTTTTTGCATCTGTTGAGGTGATCAAGTGGACGAAGCATGCATTGCTCCAGGCTCTTCTGGCTTTCAAAATTTCTGTTGTCAAATCAACTGTTATTCTGATGATTTTCCTTTATATGTGACTCATGTTTTTACTTTTGCAGCTTTCAATCATCTGCCTTTATTCTGTAGACTTAGCGTTTTAACAATGATCTGCTGTGAGGATTTCCTTTCCTGTCTTGTCTCTTTGGTATTCTGTGTGCTTCTTGTATAGGCATGTGTAGATCTTTCCTTACCTGGGAGGAGTTTCCTTCTATGCTAGAAGATTTGGTGAATGCTGTCAACTTGGAATTCATGTTTTAGGTGTACAGAAGGACACTCGGAAGCAGAGTAGATATGTCTCTTAAGTATGTTTAAAAATTTTTTGCTTACTGCTTTAAAATTTTAATTAATCAGCTTTACACCTCAATCACCGCTTCCCCTTCCCCTTCTCTTCCCAGTCTTTCGCGCTCCTTTTCCCTTCCCCTATCTACCTCTACTCTCTTTCCCCTCAGAAAAGGGGAGGCCTCCCATGGATACCAAACCAACCAGTCTTGGCATATCAAGTTGCAGCAGGACTAGGTATATCTTCTACTATTGAGGCTAGAAAAGGCAGCCCAGTTAGAGGAAAGGTATCCAAAGGCAGGCAATATAGTCAGAGACAGCCCCTGCTTCTGCTATAAGGGTCTGACATGAAGACCCAGGTGTACTGCTGTTACATATGTGCAGAGGACCTTGGTCCATGCCAAGCATGCTCCCTGGTTGGCAAGTTCAGTCTCTGTGGCTCCTATGAGCCCAAGTTAGTTGATTCTGAGGGTTTTCTTGTGGTGTCTTTGACCCCTCTGGGTCCTTTGATCCTTCCTCCTCATTTTTCCATAGAATTTCTCATGCTCACGCTAATGTTTGGCTGTGGGCCTCTGCAGTCTGTTTCCGTAAGTTGCTGGGTAAAGCCTCTCAGATGAGGGTTATGTCAGGCTCCTGTCTGCAGGCATAGCAGGATATCATTAATAGTGTCAGGGGTGGGCTCTCTCTTATTGCATGAGTCTCAAGCTGGGCCAGTCATTGGTTGATCATTCCCTCAATTTCAGCTCCATATTTAACCCTGGACATCTTTTAGGCTGGACAAATTGTGGGTTGAAGGTTTTGTAGCTGGGTTGGTGTCCCAATCCCTCTATTGGGAGTCTTCCTGGTTACAAGAGACTGTTCCATATCTCCTATTGCTAGGAGTCTCAGCTAAGGTTATCCTCATAGATTCCTGGGAATTTCCATTGCTCTAGGTTTCTGACTCCTCCCAGAGATGCTCCCCCTATCCTCATTCCTGTTGTCTCTCCCAGTACTCTCTCCTCCTGACCTCCAACTTATTTGATCCCTCCTGTTCCTATCCCTCCCCCTCCCCCAACTGGTCCCTTTTCTTCATCCATTCCTGACATCTATTCATTTTCCCTTCTCAGTGTGATTTAACTTTCTCCCTTTGATGCCTCTTTGTTACTTAGCTTTTTTGAATCTGTGGATTGTAGCATGATTATCCTGTACTTTATGGCTAATGTTCAATTATGAGTACATACCATGTTTGTCTTTCTGGATCTGGGTCATCTCATTCAGGATATTTTCTAGTTCCATTTAGTTGTCTGCCAATTTTATGATGTCATTGTTTTTAATAGCTGAATAGTATTCCATTGTGTAAGTGAACCTCATTTTCTTATTCATTCTTCAGTTGAGGAACATCTAGGTTGTTTCCAGTTTCTGGCTATTACAAATAAAGCCACTACGAACATAGTTGAGCAAGTGTCCTTGTGGGATGGTGAAACATTTTTTGGGTATATGCCCAGGAGTGGTATAGCTGGGTCTTGAGGTAGAACTATTCCCAATTTTCTGAGAAACCACCAGATTGATTTACAAAGTGGTTGTATTCTTTGACAATTTTATACAATGTGTTTTGATCATTATCTTCCCTTTCTCCAACTTCCCTCATATCTACTCCTTTTTCTATGGACCTACTCAAATTTGTGTCTCTCTCCCCCCGCTTTTGTTCAAGTTATGTTGCCCATACATTCTGGGATCTGGGATTTTGCACTGGAGTGGTTGACTTACCAAGGGATACACTATTAAGGAATACTGACTTTCCTTCCAGAAGCTATTAGTTGCCAAAGTATCTCCTCAGCTATGGTTGGGACCCCTCTCCATGTTGGGTTGTACTGGCTTGAGCTTGCATAGGCCTTGTTCATGTTGTCATAGCTGCTTTGAGTCCATATTTGCAGCTGCCCTGTTGTATCTGGAAGACACCATTTCTTTGTGATGTTCTGTTACCTATGGCTCTTACACTCTTTCTTTCCCATCTTACACAATGATCTCTGAGCCTTTGGGAGGAAGGGATATAATATAGATGTCTTATTTAGGGCCAGGAATTTCACAATCTTTTATTCTCTGTATCTTGACCAGTTGGGGGTTTTGGTGTTATTCATTATCTACTGCAAATAGAAGTTTTTCTGATGAAGACTGAGAGATGGTTTAATCTAGGATTCAAAACTAACATCCAAAAATGAGAGCAAGCATGGAGTATTTTCTGCTGAAATTCTTTTCATCATCCAGATTCCTTGTAAATTTAACTATTTTTTATTTAATAGACCTTATGTATTATCCTTTCTGTTTATTGAAAATTTTTATCTTCTCTATAGGTTATAAAAATATTTAATTGCAGTCATCTTTACAGCTTTGGTACCTACCACACTGTGATGTAATTTTCTTTATATTATATTTTAAGTTAATTTTTTTTGAGACAGGGTCTCTCTACATAGCATTGGCTATCATGGAAATTGGCTGGCATTGAATTCACAGAGATTGACCTGCCTCTACCTCCTGAGTACTGGCGTTATTGGCGTGCACTACCACGCTGGCTCATAGTTTGCAATAATTTTAGACTTACAGAAAAATTGAAAAAAAAAAAGATAGATGACCCAAATGTCTTGATATCCACACACATTTGTTTAAATGTAAATTCCAACCAATGGATTAACTATAATGTCCTAGGCTGAACAAAGCCAATGGCAGTCAGCACCAAGGAGCTTTCAAAGAAGAGTATAAAAAACAAAGATGATCATGGCAGCTCGGACCAGTCAGAGGGCCTTGGCGAGGGTGGCATCGGGGTGCCGTCCGAAGTCCATCATCGTGACTGAAGCCCCGGCGCGGGGGTCTATGCGCAATGTCCGATACTTTTCTCCCTGTGGTATACTGATGAACAGAACCCTTCCACCATGCGCCTCAGTTTTCCCAAAGGAGATCTGTGCAAGAATCTTCTTCAGAATCACTGCACCATTAGTAAATAAACAAAAGGAGTATTCAGAGAGAAGAATTATAAGGTACTCAATGCAAGAAATGTTTGATGTTGTATCAGGAATGGAGGATTATAAGCATTTCGTTCCTTGGCGTAAAAAATCAGATATAATATCAAGGAGATCTGGATATTGTAAAACCCGATTAGAAATTGGGTTTCCACCTGTTTTGGAGCGATACACATCAATAGTAACCTTGGTAAAACCGCATTGGTAAAGGCATCTTGTACTGATGGGAAATTTTTCAATCATTTGGAGACTATTTGGCGTTTTAGCCCAGGTCTTCCTGGCTATCCAAGATTTTGTACCTTGGGTTTTTCAATTTCTTTTGAATTCCGCTCCCTTCTGCACTCTCAGCTCGCTACATTGTTCTTCGACGAAGTCGTGAAACAAATGGTAGCGGCCTTTGAAAGAAGAGCATGGAAACTCTATGGTCCAGAGACAAACGTACCTCGGGAATTAATGCTTCATGAAATTCACCACACCTAAGAGGAAAATAAGAGCTGCCTCCACCTACTCTTGACTAGTTTGTTCACTTTCAGGTAGTCCTTTTGCCATCCATTGAGAAGTCAGAAAGCATTTGTTAAACGTGCCTTGATTCTAAGCCCGCTCCATTGAAAATTTGCACATTGAATATGGACCCACTTATACATAGAATTATTTCTTCAATCAAGTGTAACTCTTAAGTAACATGTACATTTCCAGGCTCCTTCTGCCTTTTTAATAATGGATGTCATCACTGTTGCTAGGATAGCACATTCCTCATTTGAGTACACAGATGAACAAGTCTTTTAATTCTCACCTTACATGAAAGGTTAGCTGAGATACAATGTGTGTTACATTTACCATATCATGTTTAAGTTATTAGGTTCAGAGTATTTGTAACTTATTGTTATTGGGCATGCCATACAGCTTAGGGTATTTGAGTAATCATATATTTAACATTAAAACTTTGATTTAAAGTAAAAAAAAAGAAGAGTATAAAAAAATCATAGGTGGGTTCAAAATGTGATTTAACTTTAATAATTTAAAATTAAATAAAGTAGGCAACTAATATCTAAGTTTTCAGCTATTGGTTATTGTATCAGAGGAGACTGAAAGAATATTTTGAGTTCTGAGTTCACTGTTTATGTAGTTTTGGTAAGTCCTATGGCTTATCTGTTGTCTGTGATGCTTCTTCAGAAAACAAGAGAGTGGGACAAGATAAGTTCTGAACTTCATTTTGCTGCAAGGTCTCGGGTCTCAGCGGCCAAGCTTGCAATCCTTTCTGTCCAGTGCTCTTCCTTTCCCCACTATGGTCCATGTTTATTGCAGACGATACTGAAGACTATGCCGAGCGCTTTGCGGAGGAAAATGAGGCAAACCTGGTTGATTTTGAAGACGATTCTTCATTTAGCAATTTACATGTCAGAAAGCATTTTCCAGAATCATGGATTTGGCTAGACTCCTACATGGGGTAAAGTTCTGTAAAGTTCTCTGTCCATTTATGTTTCCCTTAGTGTATATCTAGAATAATATTTTTCTACTTTAAAATGTATTTTAAGCATAAATCTTGTGTGTCAAGGAACTAAGCAGATGAGAGAGTTTGGGGTTTAGTGTGATCTCAATTGCCTCTAACTGTAGTGTTTGATTGAATCACAAGGATTGTGGCCACAGAGCATCATCAAGGAGAGGATGAGGCTTTATAAAAGGAAGGGCAAATTAAACTCCCGTGAAGTCTCCGAGCCTTTGTTGGAGGAAAACTCATAAGAGCTGATAGGGATACAGACAAAACTTGGTTAAGCACCCACAAACTTATCTGTAAATTGAGAGAGGAATCTTGGAGTAAAGCTTGAAAATACGTATTTAAAAACATTGTTGAAAATAGTAGTAGTCAATTGAGAAGGCATGAAGTTTGTAGGATGATTTTATTGGAGTGTGTGAAGTATGATATTATAAACTACTTCTTGAGAGATCGCGATGCTCAGTGACTTTAAACTTAGATACGTAAATGACATAAATGTAGAAATTAAAAATTTTTCTAATAATTGTTATGTTGACTTCTTTTGAATTATGTGAAATATTGGTTTTGTAATTTCTGTATTTGTGTTGACTTCAGATCTAAGGTTTACGAAGACTTTGAAGTTACTGTACCTGATTCCATCACTTCTTGGGTGGCTTCTGCTTTTGTCATCTCAGAAGATCTGGGTTTTGGGCTAACAACAGTTCCAGCAGAGGTAGAAAGAATATTGACTTGGGGGGAAGGGCTCAGAAATCTAATGAAACGAGGATCAGAAAATTATCAACTATCTATTACTTTATTGATCACGCTTTACTGTGACTTTACCTTTTTGCCTTCAATTGTGTCAACATCTTTGAAAGAATTAGTATAGTAGTGTTTATAAGTCTATCTATTTTTATTTTATGTGCATTGGTGTTTTGCCTGCACATATATCTGTGTGAGGGTGTCAGATCCCTTGGAACTGGAGTTACAGACAATTTGTGAGCTGCCATTTAGGTACTGGGAATTGAACCTGGGTCTTCTGGGAGAGCAGCTCTTAATCACTGAGCCATCTTCCCAGCCCTAAATTATTATTATTATTACGAACTTATTGCTATTATTGTTATTATTATTGTGTGAGTGTGTGTGTACCACAGCACACAGACATGGCAGTCAGAAGACAATTTGTGGATTCAATTCTCTCCAATTATGTTTATGCGAATTCTGGGAATGGGAATTGAACTCTGATTGCCAGACTTGGCAGTTGTCTAGCAAGTGCCTTTACCCATTGAGCCATCTGCTGGCCCTGTGTTAAATTGTTGAATCTGAGTTATATTAAATTGATAGATTTGGTCATAAGGTTAAAAATATTATTGCTTAAATTTTTTTTTTTTTACTTTTTACATTCTAGGTTTTTATTTCATTCTTTGAGCCAGAAGTCTTTTAGTCAAATCAGAAAATGCAGACACTGTTGAAGCTTTTTCCTTTGAAAATGAGGTCTCATATATATAAGAATGTATGTTTATAAACTCTCAGCATAAGATCATGATGTGGACCAAGTGATCTCCCCCTTTACTGTAGGTTGTAGTCAGCATTCAATGTTTTCATGCATGGAAGGAAACACTAGGGTAAAATGGAATGTTCTGTAAATGGTGCATATTTCTGAAATAATAAATGTGTAAAGGTAATTATAATTAATTAAGGAAAATGTGCCACACACTACTAAAGACAACCAATAATTTAGTAAATATATCTAAAACATTCAAATTTAGATAACACATAGTATTTTACAGAGTTTTTATATTTAAATTTTGTGTCACAGTTTGCTTATTTATCTTTTCCAACATTGTAAACCTGAATTTACTTTGTCACTTATTTGTAGGCATTTCTTCCTAATTTCCAACTCATCATTGCTATAGTGCTTATTATTTTTCAAAATTTCAATGTTGAATTAATTTTTATTTTATTACCAATTGTCACTATCTTTACTAGGACAAAGTTCCACATTATGATCAATTAAGGTAACTCAAGCCTTACTATGTTAAGTAAGACTGTCGATAAGCAATGCTGTCTATGCAATGAACTTCATTGCATAGATGTCAGGAATTTCCTTATTTAATCATTGTTGGAACCAGAAAACAGGTATCATTTGTATTATAACTTACTTTTAAGCTTGTAGTAACAGAGAAAATTCAGCCTCTTGGCTACATCAAGTGTAACATTTTAAAATTTTATACATACGAATGTTTTGTCCTTATCTATCTATCTGTACTGTATAAGAGTCTGGTGCCCAAGGAAGCTAGAAAAGGATGTTGGATCCCCTGGAACTGGAATTTTGAGATTACTTGTGAATGGATGCTGGGAATCAAATCTGGATTCTCCATATGAGCAGCAAGTGTTCTTAACCTGTTGACCATTCATTTTTCCAGCCCCTATTTTGTTATAAAGTTTATTATTGACCTAATAGCTTACAATGGCTGGGTTATTTTAAAGATGAGCACAATGTCTCAAGATGTTTCCTAGCAGGCCTTTCTTCATTCCTGTGCTCTAATTTCATCATACTTTGTTTCCAGTTACTAATAAGAATATAAGGATTGTGAATGGCCACAATCCAAAAGCTACCACTCCTTATTATACCAGAAAGCCTCTGTAACAGAGATTTTGTGTTGCCTTCTTAGGATCTAATAGTGAAATTTGTAGAAATATTAGTGCTTTGAGTTTGTATGTGGTATTATGGTGGAAGCCCAGGTCATTTAAACAGATGATTTATTTACACGAATGTCTAAGTAGTCAATATCTATATAGATATTTACATGACATTTTAAATTATAAGATCTGTTGAGTCAAATGCACCCAGCAACAAATCATATTTCTGTATCCCAAATATAAACCACACACAAATAATAAATAAGTCAAGAATCACAAGGAATACAAGACAGTAGTTGTTTATTGTTTGGGAAAGTTATAAGTGTTGTAAAGCTTCATGCCACAAAGTGCTGCTATTACCATTCAGCCACTGTAACAATCTAAAATGTTCAGTCTACAAATGTCTACATAAACCTGGCAGACATGTCCATCCTCTTGACCTTGTGAGGTGGTCTTGTCATCTACAAAGTTCATAGTTGAGAAGTGTGCAATCAAATTTCAAAAAAACTAAGCTTCTGACCCCTACCTCCATGCTTAATGTTATATTGGGCCATGTTCATGTTGGCTTTGTTGTATGTGGCTCACAGAGGCATGGGTTGGAGGCACAGGGCATGCCTACTAGAGACCACTGGCCTAAAGTAGCCAGGCTTATTTCAGGAAGCAGAGGAGGCATTCTGAATTGGCCACTCTGAGAGCTGGCCACTCACTGAAGTGAGTCTCTGGGACTGTTGGATTGGAAACTTTTGAAGCAAGTTATGAGTCAGTGCAATGTAACAGAATGTCAGCTTGTTTTGGTATCAGAGAGAATAGGTTATGGCTCCTTCACTTATAGTAGTTACAGAAATTTCTGAACATCATTTTTAAAAAATAAAATAGGAACTCAGCACCCTTATGGGGGGTCTAATGATTGTACAAATAACTTAGGAAGTGCTTGGTTACTATTAGGTCCTTAATACAGTACAGTAATTACTATGTTAAATAACAGCTTTCCATCATTCACTCTGTGTAAGCTGTTAACAGAGGATGGTTGATAGGCATGTGGACACCTCTAGGAGTTCCAGGCTGTAAAGATTCTGTGGATATTGCTCTTGTATATAATGTGAAACATTTTTATCTGAATCAAAGCATGTCATCATTGTGTTCTTTCTAGCTGCAAGCCTTCCAGCCATTTTTCATTTCCCTGAATCTTCCCTACTCTGTTATCAGAGGTGAAGAGTTTGCTTTGGAAGTATCCATAGTCAATTATTTGAAAGATACCACTAAGGTAATGTGTTCAAGGTTCTGTTGATTACTTACATTTTGGAACAAAATACAAGGATTGGTTGGAGTATGCATAGTACTTGAACATTTGTGTCTCCAAGCATTTTTTTGACTTACATGTGTTTTACTGGTTTTATCCTTTTAACTTGGTAATTTAAAAATTTAAGAAATGTTTAATTTATTTGAAAATTTCACACCCACATATAATAGAGTCTAGTTGAATTCACTTTAACCTTTCTTACCCTTCTTCTTCTCTCTCAAGAGGTTCCTCCTCCCACTTTCATGTCTTTTTCTCTTAATTTTATACTGTGGTCCACTTGCCTTTAACCAAGGCCACCCACATGAACATGTGTGTGGAGCTATTCACTGAAGTATAGACGGCTTTCTAGTGCCTACACCATTGAAGGCAATGACTCTCCCTTTCAGTCATTAGAACTTACAATAGTTCCTCAAGGATGGCTGGACCCTGTAAATGCTGTCCCCAGCTGTAAGTCAATGGGCTAAATCTTGGGATTAACCTTTGTTCATTGCTTTAACCAAGGCAGGGAACAGCAGTAGTTTATGGGTACAAACTTAAATACAGTGGGCCTTAGAACTAATCGGAGAGCACTTGGTTACCGCCATAATTGTTGCTCTGTTATTGTATCAGTGAGCATTTCTTGCCTGACAGATTGGAACTGTAGTATGCAAGATCCACATATGGGTAAGACCATTGATAATTTTTTTCCCGAAGTTGCCTACATAGCAGCTTTTGGCATTAGGAGAGCTAGCCAACAAGAAGGAAGCTTCTGCCTCAGGTGTAGCATTATTTGTCTTTGTAGTATAACTGAAGTGTATGTTATCTTCAGCAATAGGGTCTAGGCAACCAAAACAATGGCAATGACTAGCATTTTTTCTGGGGTCCTATGGAGTCTCCATGACTAACAACGCATAGGGAGGAAGCACACATCTGATACTCCTCCAAGAATTTTGTATGATGCTGGGAGATTGAAAGTATACATACTTTGTTAGTGATTTCTTCTGCTTATTAATGTCTGGGGTATATCATTAGAGTGTCTGCATATTAGTTTCCCAGAACACATCCTCCCGTTTAGCCAGGGAACTTCCTTTTGGCCTTGGGAATGTGCCTTTCTTTCTCTTGCCTCCTGCATTTCTTCCTGGTCTTCCATATCTAGAATGTGTTTTTTCTTTCTCATTACCATTATGTACCTACTGCAGTTCGTAAGAATTTATTCTCTTTGAGACAGGTTGCAGCTAGGATTCCATTCCTGAGGAACTCACCCACTCTGTTATGTTTGTAGTCTCCATGGTTATTCAGAGCATTATGTTTTCAGGAAATTATTTTATGAGTCATGTCCCTGTGTCCCCTTAGGCAGTCAGTGTGCTGCAAGGCAAAGATTAGGACTTAAGGATTAGTTGCATTAGCCAAATGGTTTTGTTTTCAGCCCTAGGCATATGATGATAACTTTATTGTATGAAATGCCATAATTTCTTTAAGTGTGTACAACTGCATAGTAAATCAAAATGTTAACTTATATTTTTTTGGTGTTGGAGATTGAATAGGTATAAGCCAATTACTGAGCTATTCTCTCAGATCCAGCATTTTGTCTTTTAACTGTGCTTTTTAAAATGGTCAGAATGTTTCAGTAAAATGAGCAGAAGATCCAACCAAAAAGCCTAATATCCAGTTTGCCTGTCACTAGCAGATATCTTAATAACATGATTGTAGTTTCCTTATCTATTTTAAAAGAATCATTATTATTATTATGTGAACAAATTATTGTGACAAATAAGAATATAAATTGGAAAATACTTTATAAATAAAGTAAGGCCCATGCTGGGTGTGGTGGGACACACCTATAATCTCAGTTCTTGGGAGGCAGAGTCACTTAAAATTTGTTTTAAGTTTGAGTATAACCTGAACTACATAATGAGTTCCAGGCTAGCTAGGCTTATTAGACTCTTAAACCAGTGGTTCTCACCTTTCCTAATGCTGTGGCCCATTCATACAGTTCCTCATGTTGTGGTGATCCCCCCCAACCATACAGTTATTTTCATTGCTGTTTCATAAGTGTAATGGTGCTACTGCTATGAATTATAATGTAAATATTGGATGTCCAGATGATCTTAGTTGACCCCTGTGAAAGGGTCATTCGATTCTCAAAGGATTTGTGACCCACAGGTTGAGACTGCTCCTCTAAACCCTCCCTTACCTTTGGACATAGTGGTTTACATCTTTAACCCCAGAACTTGGGGGCAGAGGCAGAGGCAAGCATATCTCTCTGTGAGTTCAAAACCAGTCTGATCTCTGTGGCAAGTTTCAGGTCAGCCAGGCCTACACAATGAGACTCTGTCTCCAAATCAAATCAAATCAAATCAAATCAAATCAAATCAAATCAAATCAACACCCCTCAAGCCTGGAAGAATTCTCCTTAAGGAGAACAGAAAATAAGTCTGTAAATAAGGTGTGCTTTAGTACTAAAATAGTAACCACAGTTTTCACTGAATAATTTTTTTCCGAGAGTCTCAGTAGATAAAATAGTATTTTAATCTGTCTCATGCTTCCCTAATGGGACTTGTGTTTCTTAAGATGACACAGTTAAGTCAGGAGATGCTGAAACTAATATTTGAAGTGGACTTTCTGTGTATAGTTCCACCACTCAAATGGCTTTGTGTAGCAAGAGAAGTTAGCGAAAGGACAAGAAATGAAGCCAAAAATGCCTTTCCTCAGATATATCTTGAGGTAGAAGAGGCATGCACATAATAAATCCAGTTTTTTTCTGATTGCCTTTCCATTTTCCCCACATGACCAAGTCTTTGACCTGTTTTTCTCTGGTTTTGAGTCTCATACTTATAATAGTGACAGATGATACTTTACAGGAGAGAATTCATTTTTTTTATGTAAAATTTTGGGTTTTGCTTTTTCTTTTCTTCCCAGGTTGTGGTACTCATTGAGGAAAGTGACAGCTTTGTTATTTTAATGTCTTCAAATGACATCAATAACACCATATACCGGAAGACTGCTCTAGTTCCCAGTGACAGTGGGGTCACTCTTGTTTTCCCCATCAAACCTACGCACTTGGGAGAGATCCCCATCACAGTGACGGCTGCCTCACCCACTGCCTCTGATGCTGTCACCGGGAAGGTTGTAGTAAAGGTAAATATTTGGGGTTTAGATGGATACAGTAAAAACTTAACATGGAATTGAAAAGCAAACAGGAGGCGGTGTTTCTGTGTCAAATTTTTGGTAATCCTAAAATGTCTTCTTCTGGTAATGTCTAGTTGTTTTCTTATCCATCTGTAAAAATGTAACACACATGTGTTATAAAAATGCTGTCCTTTTCCTTTTTAAATTTGAGCAGAAGCAAATTTAGGAATGTCAGTTATTGTTAAATAGTCATTTACAGGTACAAACTGTGTTATACTGAGATCCTATTGGATCATAGGTTGATAAGATAGACATTTTGGATTCCTCAAAGTAGATTTTGTAGGCTCTTGTTTTGAGAGGACACTGCATAAAAACACAGTCCAGCACAGTGGATGGCTGCTCTTGTTCTGGGGTGTAATTGCCTTGGGTTTCAATCTCTGTCCAGGTAAAAAAGATTTCGGTTAAGACGTTAGGAGACTCTGTTTGGATAAAAACAGATTAATCTGATCCCTGAGGCTTTTCTTTGTCACGTTTTTCACCCCTCCCCCTGTCATTTCCATTTCCATTCCAGTTCCATGAAATTCGTTCTCAATTTAACTAGAAAGCATGTGCTTAACATGTTGGAAGTCTGAATCAGGAAATAGTAGGTAGCGTGTACTGTGCAGCTCTGTCCACAGTAGACTCGTTCTTTGTCTTTAGATCTGCACACTGTTTTCTGTTAACCGATAAGCAGATGCCGTGCCGTGTTCTTTCTCCTACAGCCTGAAGGGATAAAAAAGTCGTATTCACAGTCTGTCTTCCTGGATCTGACCGACAACAACGTACAAACTAACCAGGAATCTTTGAGTTTCTCATTTCCTCCTAATACGGTCGGAGGCAGTGAAAGAGTTCAGATCACAGCAATCGGTAAGAGTAGTGTGAGACATACTGGCTGATTTGCATGTGATAATATATTTTTCCATCTATTTCTAACTATATTGTCTTACTTAACCCCAGTGGAAAAAGATTGTGGAAAGTTTTAGTTGCTGTCAACTGCTATAACTTAAATCAGTGCTTTTCAACACACAGCATGCATATGTGGGTGTGTTGTATCACTAAACAAGACGTTCTGGTTTAGCAAGAAGTTCTGGGTAGGTCTGAGCTTGTTACCCTTTTTCTCCTTCCTCTCTTCTTCCTTCCCCTCCTTCCTCTCTCCTTTAATCTTTCCCAATCTTTCTCCCTTCTTCCCAAGATGAAACACATTGCTTTGTGCATGCTAGGCAAGTACTCTACCCACGACCTATATCACTGGCTCTTTGTTTCATGATATAAAGTCTTCATATGTGGCCCAAGCTGGCCTCAGAAATTCAGATCCATGTGCCTGAGCTTCTTTGCTGGGACTATAGGAATGCATTAACATACCTGGCTGGAAGCTTTGACTTTCTGATGGTGTTGCTTCTCATGTATACACACGTACAGATGCAAGGCCACACCTACTGTAGCAACAGGGAAGAGTGTCTTCTGGAGAAGAGATCCTGGCCTCTGTGCCTCTTAGCCGCTGCTGAGGATCCTAATCTTACATAACATGTTTAAAAACAAAGATGTCTGTTTTTTTTTTCTCTAAACCTACTAAACTAGAATTTCTTAGACTATGGTCAGGGCAAGTGTAGTTTGAAAACTTTCCATCAGTGAGTCCGGTAAGCAAGGCTTGAGAACCCTTGCCTAGAATGGTTTTCTGTGCAAGATTCTAGCAGCCTTTACTGTGGGAATGTCAGTTACTTCTAGGTACCTTCCAGTAACCTGAAATTCGTTTGAATTAAACATAGCCTTCCCCAATGCACCTGAGTCTCCTTCGGAAGAATTAAATGTCCTGACATTTAATTCCTGACATTTGTTTGACTCTCTGATTTAAAAAACCACTTATTTATACCCTATCCTTATTTAGGCAGAAGCATCCTGCTTATCGTGTAGTCCACAAGTTAAGATCTGTGGTGTTGCTCTTGTTTTGATTAAGTTTCTACTCTGTCCCACTGGCTTCTATGATAGATGCCTGCACTGAGCTGAGACTGCCTGCCCCCAGCAGGTAAGAGCAAATGATTACTATACATTGAACCAAATGTTTTGTGCTTGCAGGAGATATTCTTGGTTCTTCCATCAATGGCTTAGCCTCACTGATACGGATGCCTTATGGATGTGGTGAACAGAACATGATACATTTTGCTCCAAATATTTACATTTTGGATTATCTGACTAAACAGAAACAGCTGACAGTTAATTTAAAAGAAAAGGCCCTTTCATATATGAGGCAAGGTAAGCAGTAGAGGTATAATTTTATTTGTTAAAAACAAGTTTTCATTTGTTTACAGGTCATGGTTTTCTTAGGCCATGTTTTCAAATAGATGGAGGATGTGTTTATGCATGATTTGTGGGACTGCTTGGTACTGATGTGCTGAAGGTCAGGCAGTGGGAAGGTGCCACTTGTCTTCAAGTAGCCAACTGTTGCTTAACTGCTGCTAATTTAAAACTCTTTTGTAAAATAAAATGAATGAGTGATCATTTGTGAGCATTTGTTCACTATATTTTCTTGAGATGGAGTCTTAGGTGGTTCAGGTTAGCTTTGTGGTAGATCAGTGTGTATGGCCTGGATGCTTGCATCTCTGATGTGACTGTCTGAGCTACATGAACTGCTCAGCTATGGCTATGACCTGCCCACAGCAAAGTTAACATGGGCCAAGTGCTGCTGACATGGCAGGCAGTGTTGTAAAAACTCTCTGCCTAGTAGCTCAGGGAAGCTGGGACACAGGAAAGTTAAGTAGCCTTCCCAGGGCTATAAATGGTGAGCTAGTGGCTAACCTGGGATTTGAATTCACCATTCATTGTGTTCAGAGTCCTTGCCTCCAGCATCCATGGCCAGAGAAGTTGAAGATTGGTGGACCATTTCTAATAATAATCAAATGCAAAATTCCGAGTTCATAAAATACTACAAAAGCCAGCCCCAAATAACAGTCTTATCTTGCTTTTGTCTGCATGGTTTATATGACATATACTATACAGGAAACTCATGAAGATGGGAAGGATTTATATACAAAATGACTGGGAAGCACTCAGCACAATCTGGGAAAGTATAGTTCAATGTTTTCTAGCGTGTGTATGTGGTTTCTTTCTTTCTTCCTTCTCTTCCTCCTCTTCTTCTCCTTCCTCCTCCTTTTTCTTCTTCCTCCTCTTCTTCCCCTTCCTCCTTTTCTTCCTCCTCCTCTTCCTCCCCTCTCTCCTCTTCTTCCTCCTCTTCCTCCCCTCTCTCCTCTTCCTCCTCCTTTTTCTTCCTCCTCCTCTTCCTCCCCTCTCTCCTTCTCTTCTTCCTCCTCTTCCTCCCCTTCTTCCTTTTCCTCCTCCTTCTTTAAAGATGAATAGGTTAAACGCACAGAGAGGCACACCAGTAGCCGTCATGCCCACTTTCCATAAATTGCTAAGCCCAAGTAATGAGACTATTTTGATATGAACCTTCCTTTTAGTGTCTCTCGTTATACAGAAAATTGTTTATCCCAAACTGTGTGATAATAGAAAGGGCAGCTAATCTTATGGAAAAACTTTACATGTTTCTTTAGTTCTCACAGAAACCATAGGTGGGAGTCACACTACTATCTCCATATCCTAGGTGAGGAAACCAAGGCTCAGGAAGAGTGAATAAGCTGTGGATACCTCAGGAAATGGACGGCAGAGTTCATGCACCCGAAGGGTTGTCTATAGTATTTTTGCATTTTCAGAAAGAAGCAATGGGATTGATAGATGAGGACCCAGAGTTGGACCAAGATATTGAGTATACCACTGTCTCAGTGGGGGTTCTGATGAAGCAGTTGGGGAGAAACACAGGGTACTGTTGGGGAAAGGGACAGGAAAGGTTAGACCCTGCACAGTTAGATCACACCAATGTGAGCTGTAAGGTGTCAGTCCAGGTGGTGCAGAGTGGGAGACGAGGGTTATACAAGGAGCAAGGCAGGAGAGACAAGGAGTAAGACAAGGAGAGGGCACTGGAGTTTGGGATTTAGATGGAATGCAGCCAGAGCTGTCATGTGAAGGTGGAGGGGGTTTATTTTTCCTTCCATTAGGAGCACACACAATGCTGACATTCTGGCAGACTCTCCAACCCAGGAGCTGATAAGCTGCCCCTCCCCAACCCTCAAATGTTCTTAGAGACCTAGGTTTTCTACTTTTTATATAGAGATACTGATTTAAAATTACTGTTCTCTTAACATAGGTTTATAGATAGTTTGTCTTTTAAGTGTATATACACAGGAACTGTTCTTTTTTGACACTTCCGTTATAATTAAATTTAAGAAAAGGCTGTCTGTGGTAAAGTGTGACATGTTGGTCTTTACGTCTTGTTTAGTCATTGTAGAAGATGAATAAAAGATACAGGAGAGTTAAAATTTATCTTTGGACTTTTTGAAAACAAGATTCCACTTTGTCTTATAATTTATTAGCTTGCCTGGTTTTGTGTGGAAAGTACATACAGATTAGGCTGATATATTGTAATTTAATATGCATTCATTGTCATGTTTTAATAAAGCATATTAGCTCATAAAATGTCATATAGTACATTTATTATGTATGCTTTAAGAACTGTAATTTTTGCTGATCAAGTATTTTGAACTCTATTACATTTTAATTAATTTTTATTTTATGCATATGAATGTTTTGGCTACATGTATGTCTGATGTGTGCCTGATGCCTAGAGAGACCAGAGAGGATGCCAGATCCCCTGGGACTGGAGTTACAGATGGTGGTAACCTACCAGATGGGTCCTGGGAACCAAACCTCTTTCCTCTGAAACAGCATCAAGTGCTCTTTACTGTGGCGCCATTGCTCCAGGTCTTTAAATTCTATTTTGAGTGGCTCGAGCCACCTGGAGAGCTAACTCATCCCTTGGAGGTGACTTGGCTTGTCCTATGACACTTTGCTCAGAGTCACCAGAACTCAAACCCCAGCTCTGGCTCCCCCACATCAGCTGTGTTGTTGTCAAATCAGTTTTTCAAAGCCAGCTAGGGATGGGTTCTGTTTTTGCCTAACAAGAGCCAGGTGCTGGGTTAGATCCCCATTCTGGAAACAACAAGGTTCCAAGTGGCCCTCTGGGACTCTCTTTCCTGATGCTAATTAGATGCTAGAAGGGTACACTGACCAGAGGGAGAGAAAACATAGGTCTCCAAGCGCCAAGTAGCCTTCCAAGGGTGCAGGATGATGAACTTAATAAAGGCAGCACAGGAGAAAGGAAAGCACAGTGGTTAAGACACCAGCCATAGGCCCTATCTTGGGTTTGTTTCCTCAGCCTCTCAGAGCCTCAGTTTCCCAAATAATAAATGTACTTACATGGTGTTGAGACACTAGGAGCTAGACTCCCTGTAAAGGTAGTGAATTTCCCGGTTGGCCAGCTCCTTCCTCACCCTCCTTGAGACTTGCTCTGGGCCAATCATCTATCTTACCTTTCTTCAAACTGACCAACCCTAAATTGAGAGGAAAATAGGCTTTAAAACCCCCACCCCATGAGAAGAGACTAGATCTTTCAGTCTCCCGAGTGCCCCGTCTGTTCTGCACACATTCTCCGTGTACCTGCTGCATGTGTGTTTCCCCACCCCCAGTCAACATCTTTAACTTTTGACTCTGTCTGTGGTGCTTGAGGTTTCTCTGCTGCTACCTGTTACACTTTGGTTCTTTCCCACCCCCCCTTTAATTCTAACTGGCAGAGGGAAGGAACCCAATCAAGAGCCCCCGGTATGTGTGTCAGCTTTCTTCTTAAGACTACCTCATTTGTATCGCTCCATTTATGGTCTTCATGTAACATTGTGTGGATCCACCCAATCATCATCTGTATTAATACTTGGATGGTGCTGGCCTGTGTCTGACTCCTTCTGGGTTGTATCACCACATGGGTACCTCAGAGCTGAGTCGGTAGACCATGATCCCTATCAACTTTTTGGGCTCTTAAGTTCATCCTTTTAGTATGGATGTCAGATCCAGGAGAGTTCTAAAGTTCTTCCACAGTTCGGTGATTACCTGTAGACGCCAACCATTCTACCCAGCCTTGGTGCAGTCTTACCAACCAGGAAGTGTGATCAGTGCTTCAGGCTAGCCCAACAGCTTCCATCTGAAGAAGACAGTGTTTCCTGATACTGCTCTGCAGGATGATGTCAGAGTCTCACTTTAGAGATTGTCTTTTCTAAGACTTGTAAATATTGTGCAGTTGTTTTTATTTTTTTACAGCATTAATGAAGATTTTGTGTGATTTGTGATTACTTAAGTATCACTTAGGAATAACACATTGTCTTACTTAAGTTTTGGTGGCCTGGGGGTCCTGTAACCAACAGCTACATAACTGAATGAAACTCATTTTGCTGTCAAGAAAGAACTGTAAAAAGAAACCATTTCTGACAAGGACTGGAAATCCTGAGCCTGTTAATTGAAGCACTAAGCCGCTTGTTTTCTTCAGATATTTAGATTTGTTTTGAAGTTACATTTTATTTTTATTTTGTGTATATGGGTGTTTGGGTGTGGGAGCATGTGGGTGTAGAGGTCAGAGTACAACTTTTGGGACTTGATTCTCTTGTTTCCCATGTGGGAATCAAACTCAGGTCTTCAGGCTTGGCAACAAGGGCCTTTAGCTGTTGAATTTGCTCAACGAGCCTTTTCTTCAGATATTTAAATTACAACATCTGCAGTTTGCATTATAGGCGAGAATCTGACCAAGTCTTGAAATCAATGTTTTTGTCTGTTAAAATACTGTCTTTTCTCAGAACTGGACTCTTGAGTGTGGCACATACTGAGCAAGCACTCAACTGCTGAACTACACCCCAGCCCTGGGCTGTTCTTTTTTTTTTCTGTAGGCAGTGCTTTCAGCTTTAGTTTGCTAAGTTGTGACTATGTTCATGGTTAGTCCAGAGAAAACTCATGATCCATAAAGATTTGCTTCTTATCTGGCTCATTGTAAGCAGTAATTTATAGGTTGTTATCACAGCAGCTTCGTGACTTCTGTATTTTAATTTTCAGAGGTATCTGATAATTCTGATTATATTATTCTTTTCCATATAAAAAGAGGTGTTTGTAAAACATTGATCTTGTAAGGGATACTTTTATTTCTTTGTAAACTTTTGGAGAAAACTAAGCTTTTGATTTGCCCATCTATTGTGCTGAAAAATCTCCAACTTAGGTAACTACCATGGAATGAAGATTGTTATACTAACAATAAACATCATAGCCACATCATCAACATCTTTTTATGCTAATAAAGTGGAAATTAGGCCTGACATAGGCAGTTGTTTGGAGGACAAGCAGCCAAGGCTTCTCTAGCCTGCATGGCCAGCATAGAATGAAGAAGGGAGTGTCAGAAGAGACTGCTGCACAGAGTCAAAGCAGCTCTTCTCCCTGGCTTCTCTTCTTTCCTTCGCTTTTCCATGGGAGCAGAGCTGGAGGTCTGGGATCTGTTTTATTGATCCACTCTACAACTGAAAATGGTCCAACTCTTGTTTCCTCTGGACTGGCTGCCCTTAGTGGGGGTGGGGGTGGAGACTAAGGCTAGTTTTTGACTCTGATGCAGGGAATGTTGGAGGATACCCACCTGTGTGGTGATTTCTATAAATTTTGATTTCATGTCTTGATCTCAGCTCTGACCCATTTTATGTTATCTTATCAACAGGTTAATGACAACACATCGCAGGGTTATTAGACTCACCCAAGTTAATACTTGTAAGGGGCTTCTCATAGTTCTTTGTACAATGTGAATACAAAATAAAGATTTGCTGTTTAATTGTCCAACAGAAATATGTTACGCATAAACATGATGATGATAAACTAATGCTTCATTCTTGAAATTAAGAAAGCAATTGCTTTTACTATAAATATGTTTATATTCCTTTTATTATCAGTCTCTTTTATTATATTACTGTGAAACATACTGTCTTATTCCTTAATCCATATGCTTAGATACAGACTTTGTAGTAGAAAACCCAAAGGAGAGAAGCTCCAAATTTCATGGGAGAGATAGACTGTTCAGTGATGGCCATGGGCTTGCCTACAGTTTCTAATACTGGACTTTGAACTCTGCATGGTTTTGCAAATGTGAATCAACTTCCCTTTGTTTGAAATAATTTATTTGCAAGTATAAGAAGCCTCTGCTTTTGTTAAAGCAGGTGCATTAAAACCTTCCAATTTACTTTATTTGTGTATGTGTATTTTTGTGTGTGTACACTATGTATGGGTACGTGTACACACAATCACAATCAGCCCAGAGGCTGATATCAGGTGTCTTTCTCAGTCATATCTCCACCTTATTATCTTTTGAGACTGGGTCTCTTACTGAACCTGGAACTCATGGACTGACCAGCAAATTTCAGATATTCTCCAGTGTCTGCGTCCTCAGTTCTGAGGTTACAGGCACATTTCTTTTGGGGTAGGTGATAGGGACTTGCACTCAGGTCCTCATGCTTGTGTGGTGACCACTTTATGAGTGAGCCATCTCCAATGCATCCTAAGTTACTTCATTACTACCATGGTGTTTGTGTTTGTGTGTGTGTGTGTGCGTGTGTGTGTGTGCGTGCATGTAAACATGAAGTATGGAATTGGTGTGGAAGAAGAACAGTTGGTTTTATCATTTGCCTCAGGTGTCCATGATCAAGCTATTTAAAAGACATTGTCTTGGGTTGCATGTAATTTTCCCCACTCTGTTGCCACCCTAAGGACAGAAATCAACTGTACTCTGTTTGGCCTTAAGCTTTAGTTATGATAGTGCTTTCCCTAGACCACAAACAATCTTAGTTAGCTAAGCATGGAGACCCTTTGATGAACACTAGAAGTCAGTGAAGCTCAGCCTTGTCTTTGCTTGCTTCTGGATGACCCAAAGGGTCTTGGACATCACTCCTCATTTCCCCTCTCTGCCAATGGTCCCAGCATGAAACCATAGCAAGTGGATTGATTATGCATGGATTTATGTGTCTTTAGGTTACCAAAGGGAGCTTCTCTATCAGAGGGAAGATGGCTCCTTCAGTGCTTTCGGGGACAGTGACTCTTCTGGGAGCACTTGGTAAGTGGGGTTTGTTTTTCTTCTGATGAAACAATTCTGTGTCACAGATCAGGTGTTTATTAGGCCACAGCAGCCATGGGACTGACAGACATGCCTATTTGTGTGGATATTGCAACTGCTTGACTGGATGTAAAGCACACCTTTAAAAAAGGTCATTAGAAAGCGACTGTAAAGCATTTGCAAGTTAAGAGATTTCTGTTTAGAAAAGGGAAAAATACTTTGTTTTGTCTGAAAAGCTGCAACAAGAAGATGATGGTACAGATGACAAGAAAAAATGCCATTGTGACATTTTTCTTGTTATGTCTGATTTATTAGTGTAAGAGCTTTGTTAAAATGGTCTGTGCGCTTTTCTTAAGATCATACTTCTTGAAAAATAGACCATTGTAATGAGCCCATGGCATGTCCTCCTGCTTCCAATCCTGTGTATCATTTGGGACAGTTACCCCCACTCCCTCCCTGTTCTGTCTGTTCTGGCCAACTTTAAGGTCTTCTCTGTCTACCCACAGTGGAGAGACCTAGTATGTTTCTGTTAAGCTTTGAGGAGACATAGTGCTTTGGCATTTTTCTTGTTTAGAAGTCAGATGCCACTCTGTAACTAAGAGCCTTTGTTTTTTCACTTGGCATTCTTTGCTCGTTACTGTTCTTGCTGGGCGTAGTGGCTCAAGCTTGTAACTCTAGCACTCTGGATATGTAGGTGGGAGGACCGAGGCCAGCTTGGGCCACAGACTGAGACCCTGTCTCTCCTCTATCCCTCTTCCCACAAATACAAATGTTTTGTATCATGATTCTGTGAAGTGTCACCAAGTATGAGAAATACTATACATTTTTTTTTAAATGAGGGATTTCTGTTGTCTAGTCTCTCTTCCTTTCTGCCTTCCACTTTTGTACCTACCTACCCTCCCTTCTTTCCTTTACCTCACATATTTGTCTATCTATCTATCTATCTATCTATCTATCTATCTATCTATCTATCTATCTATCTTTATGTCTCTATATAATCTATATATCTCCTCTCTTGTCTCTCCCTTCATATCCCTTCCTTCTACTCTCTCTCTCTCTCTCTCTCTCTCTCTCTCTCTCTCTCTCTCTCTC